CCTTTCCATGCAAACTATGCAAAGTATTACACAAAAGAAATATATGTAATTAATTTTCAAGTTTATGTACCATATTTATTGTCAGTTCCACCGTGAAATTGTTACATAACAGCGTATTCCCTTTAAGGCAGCAAATCTTTTTCTGTGACATTTCACAGCTTGGAACACACAGAGATGGAGATCTCTGACCACTCCATTTAAGACTATGAGTTATTTTATCGTTTGCTTGGAACCCACCAGATTTAAGAGAAAACAAGCTGATATTTTAAAGTGTTTGTTGTCAGGGCAAAAGCATACTGCAGATCCTCCACTGCATCTTTCAGCAGGATCCTTGTTAAAAGCTCAATCTTGGTCTCATCTAACCAAAGCACAGAGTTCCAGTTAAAGTCCCAGAAGCATTTAGGAAACTCCACATGTTTACAGTTGTGATGATGAGACAGAAAAAAGCATTTCCCTGACACTCCTCCCAAACAATCAGTTAGCAGTAGATAGTAGATGGTCTCTAATGGTTGCTTTATAGACTTGCTGACCCCAGCAAACAAAATATTTTTCTGTCTCTTTTCTTTGGCTCTCTTACTTTCTTTGGCTCTCTTACTACCCTAGAAGAATAAAACACCTGCTGGCAAGATTTACCTGCATCCTTGCTCAGGTTATCAAGTTCTACTTGTCAAACATTTTCACTAAATTCTGACTTGAGAAAAAAAAGTGGCTGAGCAGCTACTTTCTTATGTAAACCACATGTCTTTCTGGGTTTTACATTATGCAGAGCTCCTGCTAGAGATTTGTCTCTGTGCTACATTATATTTACATCAATGGAAAACAACCCCTGGATTAGTTATGAATCAGTGATCAATTGAAGTTACAAAAATTGGTACTTTATATGCTGTTATAAAATAACAAAAAAATGTATCAGCAACTTTTATACACATTGTTGACAATGTGCTTATTAAGTGCACCTCACTGTGAAAAATGCAGCTTCTTTATAGAGTAAACTATTTTTACAACATACACTTTCTATTCTCCGTCTCTCTAAAGCTGTTTACAGAAAAAAAGGAAGATGTACCCCAAAAAAAAAGAAACATAAATGCTCAATATATGTTTCACCGTTAATCAACCACCTCCTCTCAGCTCTGGATGTAGAATTTCTCCCTTAAGGATTTGCAGAATAACTTTAAGGACAAGGCTTGATTGTTGTGAGGGTGTCCGCAGTGTGAATTTGAAGCTAGTCGTGTGGGGTCTGGTGTGTGCACGTCAAAACACACTGAATAAGTGAGCTAATATGAGCTGGAATGCTTCTGACTGAGGCCGATAAGAGGATTACAGTATCGCTACATCAGAGAGTTTTCCTGGAGCTTTCTGATCACCTAAAGTATTCTATATATTGTTACCAGCATGGTCAAAGTAGGTTATATGCACAAGGCAGGTAGCCAGTGGCAAGATTCCAGCCTTCTTCTTCCTAATTGGTTTCTTCAGGTTTTGCTTGTTTTGTCACAGCTAAATGTTAATGCTAATGGTTGTTTATAAATAGTTATTTTACCAATAAAATGCACTTTTCCAAATTAACCTGTGATAAAACAAACATTTCTCCTATACCTAATAATTGTTTGTAGTACAGGTGGCAATGAAACTTTAACATCAGTGGGGAGCAAAAAGTTTAATTCAGCCTCATTGGAATAAAGTATGAATGGCCTGTTTAGGGTCAGAGCCACAAAAAAAGTATTTTAGTTTTATCGCTTTTCACTAGACGAATCTAAAGCATTGTTTTTTTTTATAAGAACCACTCAGAGATAGACTTGTTGGGGTAAATTATATGATTGCCCCTTTCATTATTGCAATGAATTTGAGCTTTAGGTCACACATGAGAAATATTCTCTTCAAGGATTTTCTGATGGCGATGGAAGTCATCTGGTTCCTGAAATTGTGCTCAAACTGCAATCTCTTAAATCCGAAGAGCCATTTTGCCCTGAGTCCAGCTAAGCGAGTCATTTAGAGCCGCATATATGACATGACCTTTTTATTTTCAAATATCTGCTATACAAAATGGGTTGCCATTTCAAATAATCAATAGTTTTTTTTTTTTGTATTTTTAGCTTTTAGGAAAAACATAAAAAGTTTCATAAAGATGAAAATGAAATTTTCTTTTGTAGGATATTTTTTGCTCTACTGCAAAAAAAAAAAAAAAGCAACATCTTCTTGTGTTACCTGCAAACTCAGCCATCAGGGTGCAGTAGGGGAGTGTGTTCTTGTAGCCTGCTAGTTTGAGGGTGAGAAGTGAAATAGTGGAAGAACATAAGAACCCAGCAGTAGTTTGGTTAAAGACAGCTGAAAACAACCAAGAAAACAAAACAAAACAAAAAAAAATTGTGACATACTTTGAATAAATGAAAAGAATAAAAAAAAAGCTGAGATTAGGATCAGAAATGGGTAAGAGACAGGGAAACAAATGAGTTACTGGTTCTTGGCATGAAAAGTGAAGGGATTAAGGTGCTGTGTGAGGTAAAACAAGCTTGTTCTTGAGTGTGTTAGTTTTGGTTTAGTGAAAAGGTCAGACTGGAGACTATTGTTTAAGCCAAAAGGTGGTGAAATATAAACTATATTGAAAAGTTCTCCATTTGCTTGAGCGTTCGACTCGCTTCTGTCCGTCTAATCCTAATCTGAAGACTGTGGAGGCTTTGGTCAAATAGCAACGAGTGTTAGTGGGCCTTCTAATGTTGGTGTGTAATTTTGCCATGCAGGTTGGGGATTAGAGTGGGATAAAGGATGCGAGGATTACTTGGTATAAGTTCTTTCTCTTTCAGCTGTGAGATTTTTCCTTTTAGAAATCACTGACTTTTTCCATATATGAACTTTGCACAGAGTAGATGAACTACCAAAGGTGAAGCATTTCTCAGGCCTTTTCTCATTGTTTCTGGAGTTTTTTTTTCCATTCTCTCAAAGCCAAGTTTTTACTACCGTTCACACTGTCAAACACAGTACATTTTAACAGTACTTCTTTAATTGTTTTCATTTTTTATTGGTTACAACCACAAATTTCCGCTTATATTAGACAAATTCAATCAATCATCTTTAAGCCACCTAAATGACAGATACTACCTCTGTGCAAATTCAATTTAAAAGTAATGTGGCTAATTTGGAGCCTTTGTGATCTTCATTAGCTGACAAATGTTATCAGGACCAACACTTGTCAGGAATAAAGTTGTGGAAACGGTTAAAGGAGGAATAGTTATTCAAGACTATTGCAAACTTTGAACATTTCACAGAGTACTTTTCTATTCATCATCTGAACTGGTCAGAGGGGAGGATCCAGAGGAGTTGTGCAACCTTCACAAGAAAGCTGCAAGGACAAAGAAAGAAAAAAGGAAAAAAGGGGGACAAAATCTTTTATTCAGCTTCATAATGTTGGTGTATATTTTTAAGATCGGCCAGTTTCTCTTCCCGGGCAAGAAGTTGCCTTTTTTCCCCCCACTATTCTTCTAGTAGTTATATCCAAAGTTATTTATAAAGCTGTTTGTTTGCTTCACCAAAACAAATTCATTGTACGTATAAAATAGAGGATAACTGGAGCTGGAGAACCTTAAAGAAGTCTCACTTGCTGCCATTGGTGGGAATGTAATGTCTATACAATGATGCAGAGACTAAAAAGCTTTAACCTCTTTGGGAGGCGTTCAAGAAGACTGCATCAGAAAAAGATTAGGACTTCTGAATTTATTCAAGAGAGAAGTCTCTAAAGCAGGGCTGTCAAAGAGTCATCTCATCAAGTCATGTTCAGATTGGACTGAGATGACTGGAGTCTGGTGCGCTATTGCATAGTTGGAAAGAAACCTGCTGCCACGTGGCCCTTTTTGGAACCAGTTTGACACCCAAGCTCTAAAGTGATCTAATTAGATACTAGCACAGAGAACATGTTCAGTTTGAACAAGTACCAGCATTCCAGGCAAGATACCTCAGTACTCTGTGAAACACGGAGGTGGAAGTGTCATTGCCTCTAAATTTGTTCCAGCAGGACCTGGCCAGCTTACACTATAGTTTACCAATAAATTATGCATATCAGAGGGCATCTGAGGAAAATAGGAGATCATCAGTTTTTAAATCTAACCTGTGGCAGAACTGGACCCTGGAAAATAAAAATGACCTACAACTGACCTATAATTCCACCAATAACCAGCTGAATACAAAGAAAGGGAAATTCTTTGGCCTAGTCAAATCCCAGATCCTCACCTCAAGGATTTATGATTTACACAAGATAACTGAGGAGCAAAGCACCTTCCTTAGACCTTTTCCTAACTTTGAAAAACACACCGCTGTTGACATCTTGTCATGTTTGTTGAAATTAAATAAATTTCTTGTTGTAAAAAAAAATTACGATTAGGCATTCAATTGTTAACATTCCCAAATATTAGCAATCAATGACGTGTCCTAATTTATTTCACACCCACCCACAAATCAAACTAAACGGTGTAACTGCATGTGTTGGTTCCTTTATTCTGTTTCTAGTTTTTCTTTTTAAGGTTGAAACCTTGCTACATCATCTACCACAAAACTTGCATTTTTAAAGGAATAAAAACATAAGCTGTAAAGAAATTCAGAGTTTAAACTTTTAAGTACCTTTAAAAAAACAACAGTAGAGCAACAGCAATTCTGCATAACCATCAACAGGAGGTGACAAGAACTCAAACCCTTAGTCATCATAATCAGTTATAATCCCATTACTAATTATTTTTAATCATTGCTAGATTCTTGGTCAAAATAACCACATACAGACTGAATTCAAATTTAATAGCAATTGGAAAAAATTGTTTTATTGGTCTGTTTAGTTACATCATATCAGGTGTAAACCTGCATGCACTACATGGATTGATAAACTCTGGCAAAGTTTATAGTCTATACCAAAAGACAACTTAACATTACAAAAAGGTGTATAAAAGCTCATTCTGGTAAAAAGACTACCTTTTTCCACTGGTTAATAAAAAAAAAAATCTATAGAAATGTCATAATTTTTAATACTAGGACAATCACATCATGGGGTGCTTATGTATATCTCACAGTTTTTAGAGCTTGAATCAGGATTAAGGCTCATTGCTTAAAGGTTGGTGCGTTTGTAACAGAGTTCTTCTGCTCTAAGAAAGAAAGAATAAAAAAGTATGAAGGGTGACATTTCTCCTCCGAAGATGAAAAAAAATAAAAAATTTGTAAACAGAAGACCATAATTTGACATCAAAGTCTAAAAGGAAAACAAACAAGAAAAACAATTACGGTTTGTCTGAATGTATCCAACAAGAGAAAGCCAACAGCCCTGATCACACATGAAGGCTGAAACTCCTCAATAGCTATTGTTTCCATGCTCACATAGTTTTCCCTGGCCCGCCCCACATCCATTTCCTGTGAGTAAGCCTGTACAAGCACACTACTGTGTTAATATAATACAACTAAACCCTGGTGTCCCCATTGCTTCCAAAATATGGTGGATTAAATGATCACATAGCAGACAAACATCAATACTAGGCTTAATAACAGGTGGGACACCATGAGGTGTGGTACCATCATCTCCAACCATTGGGAATTCAAAAATACTTTCTGACAGAACATTTTAGTCACAAAAAAAAATACCCCAGATGCAGCAACAACTAATAGAAAATGTAGCTGTGAATGATAATTATTGTGACATATTTAGTTAAAGGGATTTAGTGTAGCAACAACTTCAGTCCTGTGAGTCCAAAGAAACATTTAACACCCTTCTGTGTTAAAAAGAAAAAGAAAAAAGCAGGTTCATGAGGTTGGGACTCGGTCCCTAAAACCTTCTTGATGAAAAAAAAAAAAACAGTTTTTCAAATAAAACAACGAAACACAAATCCAAATCTCTACATTCTTAGAATCAGAGAGAACTTTCATGTTCTGTGCGTACAAGTAGCTGAATATAAAACTTTTACTGTACATTTGAAGCGACTTTCTGGCTGTATGCAGTAAAGTCTGAGGCAAGCTCCACTTTTCCTTTAGGAATCTGTGGGTTTATCCGAGCAGGACCCTCTGGAGGCGGTCTGCAGGCACGCTGTTCTCTTCCTCAGACTCTGCGTCGCTCTGAGGGTTGGAGTTGCAGGGGGACGTACACTCAGGAGAGCACAGGTAGTGCATGAGCGGCAGTCGGTACTTCCCACAGAAATCGACAAACTTTATCTGGCGCACGCATGAATCAAAGTAAACACCTGGAGAAACACGACAAAGTCAAATATGTGATATCAAAGCACATTATGCATCAAAGCTTTCTGTAGCTTGAGTCGGCAATCATTCTTTTACTAACAGACTACAGTTTTCTGCAGTTTTTGTAGGTTTCTCATGGATAAAGTTTTAACATTTATCTGCTTGAATTGCAGGCGGGTCTCATGTGTAGGTGCCACACATTACTGTATAAACTAAAGCAATTCTGAAGTCTGGATAAAATAAGCCTTCTTCATTAAGATCTATATCTCCAATAGGAAAGAGTTTATAATCACTCAAAGCAAAAATAAACGTAATATCAGTTAAAATGATTTGCTAGCATTTTAGATCCATTTATATAGCACCTCTGTTCCAGTTCAACCTAAAGTAAACGGTAAAGAGTCCAGATACGTGGGTAAAAGGACTTTTGATGCTCTAAAAGTCAATTATTTTTCTTTTTTAATTAGCAAGTAAAAAAATGTAATACTGATGAGGGAAATGTTACATTTCTGGCAAATCAAAGATTGATTTAAATGTACATTTTATATGCCTTAGTAATGGTCACCACATTCACTAAGTTTAAATATTTGATTATTGCTATTTAGGAAACAGAAGACGGGAAACAACATCAATAAAATATTTTTTTCCAAACTTAGTTCAATGGTTTCTGATATTACTTCTAAACTAGGGAAATTCCAGAATTTTAAAACCTCAGGTAGGAGCTCTGTTGGTAATAACTTTATCCACACATCTCATTAACTCTGATTAAGATGAGTAAAAAGCCTTAGAATAATTTTCATCTTACATTTCATTAGCTAAGATGTTAAACTAGTGCAATCATGCAGAGATTTATTTCTCTTAGCCAGTCTTCTAAATAGGAGTGGACATAAAAAACCTGACATTAAACTTTGGTAAATGAGTCTGGATGAGGACCCTAAATGATTAAGGAGGCCAAAGTAGGGGTAAAAATAAAATTTCTACAGCTCAAACTTTGAGAATTGCAATAGAGCGCCATCTTGTGGTAACCATCTCTACATCACTAGATACCTACTAGTTGTTTAAGAGGCATGTCTGCAAACCCCTTCCTTTCAGTTAGTATAGAGAGTGTGATAAATGTCTACTAATTAAAAGCTTATGATGAAAACAAATTAAAGAAACGATAAACAGAAGATTACAATTTTTTATCTTTTAAGTCTTACCTGCACATTTGGGATTGGGGCACTTGCTGGCAAGGTCCAAATAGCGCACAAGATTTGAAGGCATGTCGCATGGGGAATAAGGGATATTTCTGCTTTTAACGGTACGTCCTGCCAGTTCCAGCAGCGAAGGAGGGTCATAAATCATCTCTTTGACGAAGCGCACAACCAGTGGGTTGCCTCTAAGACTGAGCTCCTCCAGGTCCACCAGGCTGAGGATCTCCCTTGGCAGATAGGTGAGCAGGTTGTTGTGGAGACTTAAAGATCGCAGAGAGTGGAGCCTGAAAAACAAAAAAACACACACAAAAAAACCCCAGAGAGGCATGAGATTTAATTTGTGAAGTCTGTCCACTGCAACAGGTATATAATCAGATAAAGCAGTCCCTGACAGCAGATGAGGGGGAAGCTGTTAGGATGCTGTAGATCTATAGTACCTGGCGAGCTGAGGAGGCACACTTTGGATGCGGTTGTCACATAGAACCAGGTAGGTGAGGTAGGGCAGGTGTGCCAGTTCAGGAGGAATGTCTGAGATGAGGTTTCCACCCAAATACAACATCTCCAAACTAAAAAAGAAAATAAGAAAAAGATGGAAAACAAAATAAAAAATCCACAAGCACCAGCTCATTAACCACTGCAGAAAGGGAGCAAATTGGTTTTGTCTTAAAACACTAAACTATTTATAGAGTTTAATGCAAAGGTTTATTTTTTTTAAACAAAATTTATGAAAAAAAAGAACTTTAGCACAAAATGGTAAGTAGTAAAACTTTTTAGGCAACAAACTGACATTAAATTTTAATTGCATTAACATTCCACCAGGGGGAGCCAAAGGTGGATGAATCTATACTTCATCCACCTTGTTCTATAGGACACACACAAAAAAAGATAAAAATAAAGAAAACAGGAGATACTTCAGCTACAGTGAGCAAAGTGTTCAACTTCATGATTATGAAGAAATCATCTGAAACTGTCCTTAGTAAAGGTACCACACTGTCCAATCTACATGCATCATATTGCACATCTGCCTTAACTGAGCTGGCAATAAGGTGTTTCATCCTTTTTTGATAATTAGTTCATCTTTCTGAAGTAAACAGATCAACAGCATTGGTAAAATCAGGACGGGCATGTAAATTACTGCATTTTCCTCTAAAGGGAATGGTTTTGCTTTTGCCAGTAATCTTATAAAATGTAGGTCTTCTGTCTCCAGAAAATAAACCCAACAGCCATTTAATTGGAAATAATTACCCATTTGTGTTAATATGACACTATCTGGTAAGTTAGTGGATGTATAGAATACATGGGGGTGTAATTAGGAGAGAAATATAGATGACTAGTCAGCAAAATTAGATGGCCAGACCATCTGCCTGCTGGAACTGATGACACAGCATGTGTTAGTGAGGAGGCCATTATGCTGTCCTGGTGGCAAAGCAGTGAACAAGCAGTGTTCTGTCACAGCACAGAGACATTCAGGGTCTGCTTGCTGCCCGAAACGAAGCAGAAACACAAATGATCCCATTAGTTTGAGCAGTAGTTGGCTTTGCTGCAGCATAAGGGTCCTTAAACCTTTAGATATAAGCTTTAAACAGGCTTATATAAACATTTCAAACAAGGAATAAAGATAAGAGTTTCATTGTAAACCCATAATTTATCAAAAAACTCTACAGTAGTTCAAAATATCAAGGAGACGTCTTTTTTTTTTTTTTTTTTACATAAAAATAGAAAGAAAACTCACATTTGTTATTAAAAACGTCTGTTCATCTACAACCTTTTAAAACCGCTTCCAAAAAATGACTGGAAACAATAATCATAAGCATTTTATATGCCTGATGTTTCTCCTCCAAACATTACGTGAAAACAAAAATAATAATTATGAAGCATTAATCAGAATCTAGAGTGGAGACTGATCTTTTTACAGACTGGGAAGAGGACAGAAAGTACGGTAAAATCTTTTAGAATAAAGTCGAAGAGGAAGCCAAGAGATGACCCATGATATCTGAAAGAGAATGGTTCTTTATATGACCTGCTGAGATAACTTCAGCAGATAAGTAGATAACAGGAAGGTAGAGCACAGTGCAGCCAATGACTTGGTGTAACATGATAGGGAGTTTCCACCGTCTGTGCTGCAACATTTTGGATTTTAAAATGCAAAAACTGGAGTAAGGCTGCACACAAATGTGCTAAATACATCCCTATTGCAGGGTCGGTATGTGCAGTATGCATTTTTGCAATGGGTGCAGATAATTGGTGGCCAAAGTATTTAAAAGGTTATGAACTTGTAAATGACATCTTAATGTAACACAGTTGGACTGTGGATCATAGCAACATCTCTATTGCAAAATTTGCCATTATTGTCTGCTTAATGCATCTGCAGCAAGAAAAACTTTAGTCAGATTTAGATTTTTTTTTTTTACCAGGTAAACCTAAAATGGACAACATACCAGCACAGTATTTAGACCCTATTTCTATTTCCTGAAGCTCAAACATCCCATATGCTGAATAAGAGAAAGACAGCTAACTCAATCACTGTGACGGCCTATGTGAACCATATCTACACAGAAGAGGGAATCTGCAGCATTGGAAGACTTAGCATGAACCTGGATAAGAGCCCACAGTCTATACTTCAGGGTCAAAAGTTAGCTCATATAACTTGATTGTTGAGTAGATATACGAGGGCAAAAACCATAGCGTCAGAAATACAAACGGTTAAAACAGATAGAGACACCTGGGATATAATATATATAAAGAAGATGACACGGTTCTGATTAGAGGTCATCTCGCCCTCATTAACCTCAACATATCTGATAAAGTACTTTGAAGGTGTATGAAGCTTATTTTAAAAATCAATTAAGAGTATCGTCCTAACTGAATCGTGTAATGACTAGTGACCCCATGCAGATCCTTCATGCCAGCTAAGATTGCAAATGAAACCAGGAAGTCCCTTTCCTAAACTGTTAAACCAGGGTGAGAAAATGATTGCATGAAAAGAACCACGGGTGCAGTCCTCCAGCAATCTGCTTGTGCTGCATATGAACACTTTAATTATTACCATTTCTTTTTAATGGTCCATATGCATCTAGTCTCATAGTGACACCCTGGAACACTGCCCATTGGTCCACATCAAAAAAAATAAATAAGCACAACGGGTGACTCAGCATTACTCGATAACAGTGTGACTTTATCGGCTACCAGCTTTATTAAAGAGGTCAGGCTGACATGAGAGACGCCACAGGCGCCAGGACCAGTGTGAGGAAAATTGGTTTACAGCACTTTTAATGACACAGCTTTAATAATAGATGAGTCAAAGTAAATGTAGGGGAGCAAATCAGAACAACACATTCAACTACTTTTTGTACTTTTGTCTTTTACCAAATAACATCCGCACTGCAGATAATAAGAATCTGTTCTGTCATGTAGGCATTTTATTTAAGAGGATTTGAAAAACAATTATTTAACTTTTAGTTTACTTATTGGGATGTTTTGCTACTTAAAAAAAGAAGCTAACAATATCTGCCATTCATTAAAATCTATCATGAAGGGCAGCTCTAATGGAAATATTTAGTCTCTAAAGTGCTGTGTATCTGCTGGTAGAGCTAGTGGTTAATGCACAGCAGATGAACAGAGATGTGGAGCTGACTAAGCTCTATCACCCCAATACACTCAATTACACCACGCATGAATGGGGTTTCCCAACCCACCAGCAGTTGTTTGCAAGGGTTAAAGGTCAAAAAAGAAAAAAAAAAGGAAATCCACCCCTATCCAATCAGGAGTAGGGGTTGACTGAAATTATCAGCCTTTAATAAATAAGCCAATAATTTTGGTCCTGGCACAAAACTTCACTATTCTTTTTAAATGGGCATATCTCTGGGCACAGCACTACTGTAAGCAAAACAATGCACAACACGCCATCTTCTCTGTCACAAAACAACAGGCAGATCACAGAATAGTGTGAGAACTTCTGTAAAAAAAATAAATAAATCATTTTAACCACGTCATAATTTTGTTAAAGTTAAAAACTAGAAGTTATTTTAGATTAAAACATAGATAAATATATATATATTTTGCTTCATAGCAAGGCATTCAAATATCTAGGTCTTTCGTTAGCAACAGTTCCCAAAGATAAATAATTTAAAAATGTTTGTACCAATAATTATAGGCCTTAACCCTTTATAGGGCCAGTTACCGTTTTGGATCCCTGGTATACCCCTTAAAAATGGACTCCCCCTGTCCCTCAGTGAGGTCTAGAAGCACAAGATCTATATCCAGCCATTCAGCAAAGATACTGCTACATGGCTGTACATCTTTTTTGGTATTTGACCCTATTTAGCCCTTGAATGATATATTACCTACTGGTAATTAAGCTAAAAAACAGTTAACAAGTCAAGAAAAAAGCTAAAAACCTCATTCAAAAGTTAAAAAGTAAAATTAAAAAGTTAATAAACCTAGTTGACAATTATATTTAGGTTTTTTTATACTAAAAAAATGAAAGTACCAGAATAGGCATTAATGCCGCTAAGGTTATGTTGTACCAAAAAATGTGCTTCTTTGCCTCTCAGAGTGTTTTTTCATGAATTTCTTAAAGAAGTACTTTTGTTATTTTTCTTAATATATTTGAGCAAGTTGATGTTTCTTGTTAATACATTGACATTAATTTTTGCCATCAAAATATACATATTTTTTGAATGTCACAAAAGGTAATAAAGTCTTGTCCTGAATTCCAATAACACTATTGGCCTGAAATTTAGATTTTTTAAGTATTGCACCAAGTGCCCTATAAAAGCTTAATAACTGTTTATATATCAGAAAACGGAGTGTAATTACAAGGCCAAGAGGCAGCACATGGTTCATTCACACACACCCCCATGTAAGCGGTTAATGTTTAGCTAAATAAATTATCTAAACTCAGTGTTTCTGGATGCAACTGCTAATCAATATTTTGTCCTTTGACGTTTTCCTTATGGGTAAAGTAGTTTAACTCTGTAACAAAATGGCCTCAGCAAGGTCTGGAATCCCACATCTATGCTTTTAAATTTAGTCCAATAGTGTATTACAAGCAGGTCTGGCTAATAAATCAGACGGCAGCAGCTGATCAAGATTGCTGCTGCCCGGGTAATGACTGATACTCAGAAAGAAGAGCACGGCCCAAATGTTAAAGTCCTAACACTGCCTCTTGCAGACAGCGAACTGAACAGGATGAAGAAAAACTACATGTTTTTACTTCCTCACATATGCCTTTGATTGAGAGTAAATCTCCTAAAGAAGTAACATAGTTGATTAAATGACAATGTTTAAATCAAACTCAAAGGAAATTAAGTTGATGAAAATCAAACTCTTGCACATAAAAATCAGAAACAGAAAAAATCTGTATTTTAAGGGAAAAATGCCAAGCAGATACTGCAACAACGAGAAGGATCGGCTCAACTTTATCAGCTCTTTAGCTCTGATTCAGCTAAATACGGTGTATTTGTCTCTCTTCCTCATCTGTTCTTGCATCCCTCTGCAACCGTAAGCATTTTTAAGCAATGCAATTAATCTTTGTCGTGATAATGTCATCAAACTCCATTAAAACAGCTTAATATAAGTTACAAGTAAAATGAAAGTTCATAACCTTTTGAATTAAATCAACCAACAATTATAGCACCAAAACAGTTATTAAAATTGGTGTAACAATTACAACTACTACAAATACAGATATGAATGTAATCTTAAAATTATTTATTCATATTTCTTCTGAATTGTATAATGACTATAATCCATAATGGTTATGTTTCTATTCTTAATTTTTCTAACACTCATTTCCAATATTTTCTTTGAATTATAAGAGGTCTGAAAAATTTTGAACATTGAAAATTTATTTTTTTCCAGGTGTTTATACACACACACACCCACACATGTGTGTGTGTATATAGAGAAGACTTAAAAATGCCCATTGAGCAAATGTAAAAAAAAAAAGATTGAGATTTAAAGTGGGCTTAATCATAAGGGGGCCTCTTTAATCACTGATGTGTTTTTTTTTCCAAAGTATACAATCATAAAATAAATACACACCGTTTTTGTGTGTTTTTTTAATAATAAACTCTCACTTCCAAACCATTGTGCAAGTGTATCCAAGTGCAATTGAAATATTACGTTTTTTAATGTCTTTAAACTTTAGAACATATATTCAGTTAAATGTGGATTTCTTGAGAAAATCACCAGAACAGGAGAATTTCTGAAACTACTTCCTAGCAAGTCACAATCAGGGCTAATGGTCACCATAGCAACAGCACGTCCAGTGCGTAGAGCAGTTAATCTACGACCACTGTGGATTCTGGCAAGAAAGCAACAGTTTACTGTTTAAACACAGCGTTACAACCGATTGGAAAAAAAAAGTTACATAATAGAGTTTAAAAAAAGAAAAAAAGTTGAGGCAAGGGGCCAGGTTGGGTTAGTTGTTACCTACCTGGTCAGATGTTCTATTTCAGCTGGGATATTCTTCAGCCTGTTTCCACCGATTGAAAGCGACTGCAGCCGCAACAGTTTGGTACACTGGAGCGGGATCTCCTCGAAGCGGTTCCCGCTAAAGTTCAACACTTCCAGCTGCAGGGACCCGAACTCCTTTGGTAGCGAGGACTCATCCAGGCGGTTGTTCTTGGCTAGAAGAGTTTTAAGCTTGGTTAGCCTGGTGATGCCTTCACAGATTGCTGTCAGCGCGTTGTTGCTAATGTCCAAGAACTCCAGATTGTAGAACAGGCTAATGGACGAAGGCAGCGAGGATAGCCGGTTGTAGTTGAGGAAAAGTTGTCTGGTGTCTCTCTTTCTGTCCTCGCTTACATTACCAGCGTTAAAAGTAGTCAAACTCAAACGCGAAAAGTCAAGCACACAGTCTCTTAATGCTGCTGCTCCTTCAGGGCTCTCCATTTTGCCTGTTTTTCCTTGTTATTTTCACTCTGTCCCGAGCTCCTACCTAAAGCCTTCCCGCAAAGCTACAGTTAGCGCGTAAAGTTTTGTGCTTTACAAAACGAAAAGGGCATCTTCTTGGAAACATGGGTTAACACAATCAGCTAGCTTGTGCAGCCAACATGTAAATACTCTAATTGTAATGCAATACTGCCTTTCATTCACTGAAGTTTCACTTCCACGTCTCAAGATTGGCTGACAGCTGACATAAGCCCCGCCCACTTGAGTAGTGATTGGTTACTATTCCTAGCTGTCATACCTCAAACTGTAATGGTATAGATCCACAGACCTAGCACTTTTATTGCATAGTTAGGGATCATTTAAAGCAAAGCAGAATCAATCCAGGCTGTGATGCAACTGTGATAAGTTTTTTTTTTTGTTTTTTTTTCTTCCGGTGTTGTAACATAAGAACAATGCTGGTCAATGATCCGTCACTCCTGTGTGCAAACCCACCAGTCCTTATGCAACTCCCATCTCCTGTTGCATTATGCAATACTCAGCAGGTATAATCTATAAAGGATAAACTTGCAAAATATCATTCAATCCGCGAAGAGTTAAAATAAATTATTCACAGAGGTAAAAATAAATGCAAAAAATCTGGAAAAATCAGCAGTTACATTGTTTTATATGAAATCTTGATAGTTGCTCAGAATGAGGAAATTAATAGGCATACTTGATGGTGTGAATTAGTGAAAAAGATATTGAAAACCTTCAATACCAAACAGTAATGACATCTGTTTTGATTAAATACAAGACCAGCATACAGTCATCACATAAAATATGAATAATCCAGACTTTACATTAAATGTAACATTTAACTATAATGTTCTTTTTTGTAATATATATATATATATATATATATATATATATATATATATATATATATATATATATATATATATATATATATATATATTAGTCTATTAATGTTGTATTACAGTCATGTCCAGGGTAGGATTTTTTCCAGACATAAAAGTTTGTCTTATCTGAATAGACCACCTTCTTCTACGTTTGCTATCCCAAAAGGTTTGGATGCATTTGATATCTGTCAAATGATGCATGATAACTGTTGGAATATTTTTTTTTTTTTGGATATTGAGTGTACAGGGTGCTGATTTTCTGCCATGTGGGGCATTTCTGTTTTATTAAAACAAAGAACATTCCCCCACATGTTTGCATTATTCCCCACATTGCTTATGGCAAACTGAAAACAGATTTTATTCTGACATTCTTTAAAAAAAAAGAAAATCTTTCTGCTGCTCTATTAAAGTCCAATTGGTGGTGCAACAGACAAAAACAGGACAAGCTGATAAGCTTTTTTGGAGTGGCAAAAGAGGACACACTATGGGGCCACAGGATGGGGACCTCTGGTTTAAATTGTGACCACATTTTGGTATGTGGCCAGACTTTGGAAACGTAATTCATGTGTTTTTAATCAATGTTCTAATCGACCATGAAGCTGTTTAATACTGTTCTCTTAGAAACCTCAGAATCGTGAACATTCACAAATTTTCCGTTACGGACAGGTGGACATTTTTGTTACTTCTGAAAATGACGTAAAAGCTCAGCTGTGGTGTAAGGGCTTTATTGGCATACATTCCTTACAATTTGCACTGTGAAATAGAAAGATGTAGCTCCCATCTAATGATGCAACATTCACACAATCATTTTCAGACAATGAGTAACAAAACACTGGTTTACTGCGAAACTTTAACAGTAACCTCTGTTCTTTTTTAGAGGCTGATAACGTTTGCAGGTCTAAGGCACTGATTAGAATGGGTCAAAACCCCAATTTAGGTACAAAGAAACACGTTACTTAAAGCCAAATACTTGAAGGTCCACAACACACAGATACACACACCCACATGCACACATTTTTATTTGCACCCAGATAACTAGTATGTCTATGCTACTTCAGCTGAGGCTAGTCCTTCTGTTAGTGATTTTGAAAAACAGGTATAGCGTTGTTGCTGGGTCCAGAGTAGTGTTTTACCTGGATAATTTTGTACATCGTTCATTAAAAAAAACTTCATCAAGACTTTGGTTTCATTTTCCCCCATGTAACACTAAGACCAAGTGCTCCCTTTAGGTGCAGCTGGTCTCGGAAAAGTCAGACAGCATAAAGACAAAAAGAAACAGGTCCAAACATCACATGGTAATAAGGTGGGTTCCAACACAAACCAATAACACACTGTACACAGAAAAGAATTTTTTTTTTTTTGCAACTAAACTATGATTTAAAGCATTAAGTCAAACATAATTCTGATTTGCATGAAACTAAGCTCAGAAGAAACAAAGACAAAGAGAAAGAAAGAAGTGCAACGGTTGTAGCAGTGGCCTATTGCTGCAGTTCTATGGCAACAAAAAAATGAAATACAAGTAGCTTTACCTTGTTAAAGACACTTAAACCAGTTACTCTCTTGTTGACAAGCTTAAGTTCCTAACCTTACCACTCTCTAAAGCACTCGTGCAAATATCCCAAAAAAAGTGATAACTACTTCCTTTCATATAACAAATGTAAAAAATATATAGATAGTAATAAAAAAAAGCCCATAGACTAGTAAAGGGGCGCAACAATACAGTCAAACATAACAGCATCGAACAGAAGGCGATCTGCGTCCAATCAGAATGCCTTTGAATATAACTGACACAGCAAACACTTAAACACTGTAAAACTTTAAAATAATTAACATGTCAGTGAAACATGAAAAAAGTCAGTTTGATAAAACAGGTGGAGTCAAGTATCAAAGAAGGGTGATAACTCTCATCCTCTTCTTTGTTTAAGTGTCCTCACTTAGACCTCTTTTGTGCTGGTCTTCATCTCCTCAACCGTTTCCTGTATACAAAGACAAAAACAACAAGGCTGACAAACATACATAAAGAATATGGATGTGATGTAATTTGTGCCTTCATTTGAAAACCTCTCTTAAATTCTCTTAAATCAAAATTTTTCACACACACTCAAACTTAAACAAAAGCGACATAAAATGCCTTATTGCATACATGTTTTCACCAAATCATTCAAACTGTCCTCTTTTGATCGATTTAAATTTGTAAGAATGTTGAATAAAACACAGGGAGCAATAAAACCCTAGCCTGCAATGAGCTGGAAACACCTGCAACACATGCTTAATTGTTTATGGTGAATTTACATCTAAACAAAAAAAATAACTATTTATTTGTAGATGTTCATTTAATTTCCAAACAGAATTAAACAGTTATTTGCTTTATGAAAATATGAATCATTTTGAGGCAGCTTAGCTTTGAAGAGTGACTTTTTTTATATATAAAACAGATATTATTTTGTATTAGATATGCAAAGATTTTGATTCATAAGATAATCTAAGATAAGATAGATAGACTTAATTTTCACAGTGGAGAAATATATATATATATATATATATATATATATATATATATATATATATATATATATATATATATATATATATATATATATATATATATATATATATTATATATTAAATATGAAAAGGTTATCGCACAGGTTACCGTATTAAATATGAAAAGGTTATTGCACAGGTGATGCTGTGATGAAAACCTTACTGTATATTCAATATAGTAAAATTAACAGCAATTTTTTTTTGTTTGTTCTGGAAGATTAGGTTTCTGCATGCTCTAAGATAACAAAACAAAGCAACACAGCATGTAAGCTTTTAAGTGACCAACATAAAACATCTAGTCTTTGGAAAGGGACTAAGCTGTTTCTTCAACATGTCTAAAAACAAAACATGACAGTTGCTTTTCAGTGACTTTAGTCTAATGCTTAAATTTCTACGTAAATCATAAAACTGAATGAGATAAAAATTTTAGTGTATTTTATGATTTAGAAGATCAGAGCTTCAGATAACTTTACAGATTTGTCCCAAATGGTTTCCACAGGGTGACATCTTTTTAATTTGGCCTTAAGGGCTGGTTATACTCCAGCAGCAGTGTGTCGCAGTGAGCTTGTCGCAGATATTTTTGATTTATGCCCAATTTTGAAGCGTGGTCTGTGCTATGTTATTCCACGCCACAACGCAAGAGGGACAATCACGAACTAGCTTTGGTTCTAGATAGGGCCGAGGAGGAGAGGAAGTGGAAAAACACAAGGGTCAAGTTTGTGCGAAAATGGAGGGACATGAGGGCGAAAATGAGCAGGGACCCAGCTGGAAAAAGGATCCCAGTGTTCTCGTGCACCTCTCTCTTCTAGCTGGTCCAACTTCACCAGTCGTTTACCACAATGAAGGTCATACAGATAAAACAAGCAGGCAATGTACCAAACAGGAAATACGCATAGGGTAGAGCAGATGGAGATCTGACCAATCAGATGCCTTCTGTCTGTGGTCACCCACGACTTTGGAGAGGTGCACCAGAATGTCTGCGGAAGGGGCGGGGGGGCATATGCAGACATGCAGACGACCTGATTACTGAGTATAAACCGGCCTTTAAACGCCCCCACCTCCGCCCCCCATCATGGTGTACATAGTGCACAACCTTACTTAATCCACAATAACCTCCAGCCTCCAGCCAAATCCCCGGGGTCACCTTCTCAGAATCATCCACTCATTTACTTCAGAGGCAAACATGTAGATGAATAACATAGCTTGATAACATCTGACTATTATGGATTTGTTAAACTGTGGTTTATTACAGAGGGTCAAACTGAACCTCGGAAGACTGGTAAAGAGAATAAGGGAAAACCTTTATCTGCTATCTCATACCTGATCCATATATCTAAGTAACGTCTAATTAGTCTTATTGAAGATAAATCTCCAAGCGTTAGATTTATTATTTCCCTTGATCTGCTTGTAGTGATAAAACTGCTGATAATGAGACTCACAGCTTAACCAAAGTGTTAGGATAGTTCATGGTCACAGTTAGGCCTGCCTAATAATCGATGGTTTCAAATCTTCTTTGTTCAGAAACAAACTAGAAATAATAGTTGGGTTTATTACAGATATTTTCCACCACTGATTTACACACTATTTGTGATTTTGATAAATATGGTCACCATATGACACATATTTTATCAATTAGAGATTCCCACTTCATACAGACCTGATGTTTGTTGAGCTCAGCAACACGGAGGTTCCATTCCTCCTCTGTCATCTCCGCTCCCGTATCTGCTGACTCACCCACTGCAGCCTGTTTGTCTGGACAGATAAAAAAGAAAATGTAAAGAGTTGTTTCTTTAGGAAATGGTTTGCTTCAGAGTTTCAGTGATAAACTCATTACCGCTGCAGGTCATTGCAGTGCAGACCCAGTTGCCGCAAGCACAGACGCAGCGATTGCACTCGACCTGGGTCTCTGCGCCGTCCTCGTATGTTTCGTCCTCCAGGGCACATTCTGTAGAAATGCACAGAGTGATGAGCCCAGGGTACAGATTGTAAACTGCTGCAGAGTGATAACAAAGCAGCATTAGATATCAGCTTCGAACAATATGACTTGTCAGCATTTTAGGAAGCCATATCATCTTACATACTCTGCAACTTTCCACCTTTTGCTTAGTCATGATAGGTCAGCACCACTGGCTGACCAACACACCCAGGCCAGTTCTTTAATATATACTTATCACATGTAAGATTAAAAACAACTCTGACACTTACAGAAAACTTTTCATCAGTTGAGTGAACACTGAAGCTAGAGGTTTATAATGCTTGTTAGAAAGCCAAAATGTGTTTGTGTGCATTTCCCCTTAAATCTGCTGCAGCCAGATAGTTCAGTGCTCCACGCTGACTGGCTGACAGAGTAATGCCTCCGCTTCCTGTGAACTTTATCCCAGATATATCCAAACCAAATGACAGACCGAGCAAACAGCATTCCAAATTCTTGGGGGGGAAAAAAGTACTGGAGGCTCATTTTAGGGTTATTTTGGAATATGCATGCCTTCACTGTAATGTTATGTTTTTTTTTTAGGTTTATTTTTACAAATCTTTTTAGACTCACTCTTCTCCGGGGGGTTGAAACTAGGCTTCAGACAGTTAAGAAACTCATCAAAGTTTAGCTTCCAGTCAGCGTTCTCATCAGAGAGCTCAATCAGAGCATCAATGCAAAGGCTCCTAGGAGAGAACAAAAAAGGAAGGCAAATGTAGAGAAATGTGTAACTTTCAAAGACAAATAGGAATAAAACAGTAAAAAAAAAAAAAAAAAAAAAAAAAAACCAACATTACGAAAATTACTATACTTTGGAACAGCACTGTTATGGTGTTTAAACAGCAATTCACAATATGTTTTAAAGGCATTGTAGATTTCAGACTTGTAAAGTGAGAGAATATCATATATATATATATATATATATATATATATATATATATATATATATATATATATATATATATATATATATATATATATATATATATATGTATGTATTTATATACAAATGTATTTTTTTTTTCTTTCCAAAAAACAACAAAAAAATGTTAAAGGTGCAAGCTGCAGAAGTATTCAGAACCATTTACCATACCATACCATACCAACTTTATTTATGAAGCACTTTATCACCGAACAGGACCAAAGTGCTGTACACAATCATAAAATACAATGAAATTATAAAATAGAGAAAAAACGAGTGTAAAATACAAGTATACAAAAAGAATAAAACAAAGTAAAACCTCTCAAATTGTGCCAAAAGCCAAGGAAAAAAGATGAGTCTTAAGAAGGGACTTAAAAACAGCAAGAGAAGTGGCCTGTCTTATGCTCAGAGGCAGATCATTCCACAGCTTAGGAGCTGCCACAGAAAAAGCATGGTCTCCTCTGAGCTTGCATTTTGTCTTTGGGACCCTCAGAAGCAACTGATCAGCTGACCTGAGGGAACGGGAGGGTGTATAAGAATGTAACAGCTCAGACAGATAAGAAGGAGCAAGGCCATTAAGAGTTTTAAAAACAAATAAAAGAATTTTAAAATTAATCCTAAAATGTACTGGCAGCCAGTGTAAGGAAGCTAAAACAGGGGAAATGTGGTCGAATTTTCGTGTACCTGTTAAAAGACGTGCAGCAGCATTTTGAACCCTCTGAAGATGAGAAATATACAAGTCACTGACCCCTGTATAAAGTGAGTTACAGTAATCCAGCCGTGTGGTCACAAATGCATGGACCACTGTTTCGAAATGCTGTCTGGAAAGAATGGGTTTTACTTTTGCTAGCTGCCTTAAGTGGAAAAAGCTGGACTTTATAACGGCTCTGATGTGCGCTTCCATTTTAAGACCAGCATCCATCTTAACCCCTAAATTTGTAATAACCGGCTTAACGTACTGAGCCAAGGAGCCAAGACTGTTCACGGAATCACTAGTGGATCTGCCAAAGAATATTACGTCCGTCTTGTCCTCATTGAGTTTTAAAAAATTTAGGGCCACCCAGGCCTTCACATCTTCAAGACATAAAAACAGAGACCGAAGAGAGGTGGAGTTTACATTCTTTAGCGGTAAGTATATCTGTGTGTCATCTGCATAGCAGTGAAAGGCAATCCCATGTTTTCTAAAAATAGAGCCGAGCGGAAGAAGGTAAAGTGAGAAAAGGAGCGGGCCTAGAACTGAGCCCTGTGGGACACCACACGACAGTGGAGCAGAGGGGGACCTATGGCCATCAAGACAGACACAAAAATTTTACATTTACCCTAATAACCCTTGATAACATCCAGCAAAGCAACTTAAGAAGTTGAGCAGTTAGTAAACAGTGTTGATCTGTGCATAACTATACTTTGGAAACTGATTTCCTTCTTTATCCAGCTCAACTGAGTCAACACCCTTTGCAACATTTACATGAGTAGATCTTTAGGGGCAGTTCTTTATTAGCTCTGCACATCTAAAGATTTATATTTTTAGTTTATGCAGGAAAAGCCAACATTTAGCCACACTGGACGAATTTAGGCCTGAAATGGAACATACAAACACATTCATATACTTAATGCCCAATCACCTCTAGCAGTTTTGGCTGAATATTTAGGGTCATGTTCCAGCTAAAATGTTAAAAATAAGACTGATGACACTATCTAAGATAGAAAACTTAGAATAAAGCACATATTTAAAGCTTTTCCAATATAACGTAGAACAAAATCAGCAAGATTGAAGCCAAATCCACTTGTGGGTTCAACTTAACTTAGTCTAAAGTGTGTCTTTTATATTTATGGAAGCAATGCACAGAAATACACCTTGTTCAAATTATGACAGTATTTTACTGTCACCTACTGTGTGTCTGTTCAACAGTCAAACAAGTCACCTTTGTTTCTGAGAGAGTTTAATGTACTGAGTCGGATGTAGCTGGTCTAATAAGTTATCGCTGCAGCTCTTCTGGAGTTATCATCTTTATCCCTGGTTGCTGTGTTCCTTGGCTTTAAGGATGTTTTCTTCAACAATTTTCTTTAACAAGAATCTTGGGCTTTTACAGAGCAACTGGACTTATGCAGAGATGAAATCACACACAGTTCCAATCTTACTAATTAGGCTGCTTCATGGCAAAGGAGACTGGAGACAGAGGGCCCTACATTTTATCTGGGTTTTCAATATGTGCAATCAGTAAATCCCAGTCAAACAGAGTTAAGTATGTGGTTATAGCTTGATGAAATGGTAAAAAGTTAAAGAATACATAATGCAAGCCACTGTAGAGGAGAACGTTTTTAATCTGGAAAGTACAGGTGTCGAGGTTTCAGGAGATTACTACAGATGACCTTCAGTGCAGTTCGTTCTGGTCCAGACAGGCTTCGTGGAGTGACCTCAAAATAGCACCATAGCAAACAGAGAGCTCTACTACGAGAGCGAATATTTAACCACACCTGGAAAAAATACTAGTAAACGTGGGAATCAACAAAGCCTTTCTGACCTGAGCAGCTTGTTGCTCTTCTGGTCTGCGTAGGACTGCAGCTCTCCAACTGTCTCGTTGTGCTGGATGAATTTCAGCAGCTCAGAGGAATCCAGCAGAGAATCGCCATCGTCGTACGACTGCAGGAAGATGGGTGACAAAAACAACAAAAGCCTGATCAGTTCCAATGTGCGACTTTCTGTAACCTGGGATAAGCCCCAATGTTTGAAATGCTCAAATTTAATTCTGATTTAAAATAAATATGCATTCCTTTACAGCAGGGGTTCCCAAAGTGGGGGTCTGCACACCCACTGGAGGGCACAAGACACCAAGTGTGGGGTTATGAGATGGTTTTCACAATCATTGTGATGTGATCCCTGAGATTTAGGTAGGGCCGAAATCTATAATGTGATTTAAATAAATGTACCATAAAAATTAGTAGATGTAACATTCATTTATTTAGCTTATTATTAAGTTAATGAATTAAATATACCACTGAACTGTAAAATTCACCATTCAATGTCCCAAGGGTCGTGGAGGGTGCTGGTGCCTATTACACAGGACATACAACCATTCACACTCACACATAAGGAGAATTTAGAGAAGACAATTAACCTAACAGTCATGTTTTTGGACTGTAGGAGGAAGCTGGAGTACCAGGAGAGAACCCGCACATGCAAAGGGAAAACATGCCAACTCCATGCAGAAAGACCTCGGGCCAGGAATCGAAAATAGGACCTTCTTGCTGCAAGGCAGCTGTGCTACCCACTGCCCCCACCTAAGAGCCCTATTCAATGTTCCACTTAACAATTTAAGATAATTTAAATAACTGAATTTTATTTTTAAAAATGTAGTTTTGAAAATGTAACATAATTACTTTACCTTGTATGCATGAATCAATTTAGAGGGAAGTAAATCCATGTAATTTTAGAGGGTCACCCGTCTTTTGCTTTTTTTTGGGGGGAGGGATCATTGGCTGAAATGTTTGGGAAGCCCTGCTTTAAAGTGGATGCCCCATTCAAAGGATGTGTTTTCTTTCATTTTTGTAGACGAGTTGCTTGAAGCTCCTTCTACACAATATTCATTACTTACATAAAATTAGATCTTTGCATCAAAATATGGTCAGCTAATAGAGCAGGTTTTGGAATATTTTTTGTAAGGCAACATAACAAAAACAAAAGTTCATACTTAGAGTAAAGATTTATGTTTTTTTTTTGTCCTGTATCAGACAAAAAAATAGAAAAGCACTCAGAGAGAGTAAACAAACAACAGATTTTGCCGCAAATTGTGACTTACACCTAAAACTAAAGCTCGCACATGATCTGGATCATTACCAAATTTAAATGAAATGTTCCTTGGCATGAGGCAAACCCCATCTAAAATATTTACATTAAATCCATTCATAAGTTTTCAATTGATCCTGCTAACAAACCAACAAGGTTCCCTTTTCTTGTGTTTTTGACTTCAGTAAAATACCTCTTTTTGAGTCCGATGCTGAGGCAGTCAATATTCACTGCTGCTACCCGATGGTTTAATGGGGAACTGCCTGTTCCGCCACATATCTCTATCTCACACTGTTAGAGAATCTTTTAAAAATTCCTGTATCCAGATTATGATCTGGATTATCACCAACATTTTACAGATTGTTCCTTGGCATGAGGGACACCTTTCATCTAAAACAATTTATTAAAATCTATCTATGACTTTTCAAGTTATCCTGTTCACAGACAAACATACAAACTTTCCACAAAAAAAATATGACATCCTTGTTGGAGGTAATTAAATAAATACGCCATTTCTACTTTCACTTAGTTAATATTATCAAAAAAATTAATTAAATTGAGCAAGTCAAAGGTTTATAAACACAAAGATCACTTTGCCTTTAAATTGTTCAGAGAAGCTCAGATGATGATGATATCATGGATTTAAAGGCTTTTATTATGGTACTAAACAAATGTCAAGTAATAATAATAAAAATGCATTAATGAAACAGGTTCTGTTGCCCTTAGATTAATATGTTTTATTATAGAAGTACCAAGTGCAGTAGGCACAGGCGGTACAGCGTGCGATCCAAGTATGGAGACCTAATTCCTACATGCAGCTGTCACAGGTTCAAGCACAGGCCTGCTGATCTTTGCCACATGTCTTCCATGCACTTTCAAGTAAAGGCCACTGGTCCAGAAAATAAAGAAAAATGAATAAAAATGTCAAAATCGACCCTACGCTAATCCATCTGACGCTGCTGGGAGTGCGTCATTAGACCCATTGAATAAGTCCTGTATTGCTAAGGCCAGATTATTAGTTTACGCACGTACTCAGGGTCATATTGCTAACTATGGAGCCTGTCTGATGAAGATTAAAACATGAACATCATTTCATTTGAAGGAAAAAGGTTTGGAGATTTTTTAGATTTGTTTATTAATTTAGCAATTTCAAAACCCAGTGTAGAAAATCATACATTTTGGGGGTTTTAGCTTAAATACATTATCAGTTTATAAAGAGGACTTGGTCCTCCTCTGCAGAACAGACATCCTAAATAAACTCAATTATATCCAGCTAACATGAAAGGACTGCAACAAAAGTTATTGGATCCAATCTGAGTCAGCAGATAGAGGGTTGGGGAAAGCAGAACCTAACAGTTGGATATGAGAGCTACAAACACAAACGATGGAGTAAGATAAGTCATATGTACAACAAAGCCCACCTTGAAGTATTTGAGGAGGATTTCAGAGAAGTTGGATCCCTTTGCAAACCAGCCGTCTGGGACGACCTCAGTCTGCAGCCACTGGATGACACGACCCCTCAGCTCATTACGGTCAGCAGCGTAGCACACCACTGCAGCAGAGGAAGCATTTCCAAAGGTCAAACAGTTTAATCATCCATATGAATGATACATGCTATCTTGACAGTGTTTCCACAGTTGACTTTTGTCCCTATCCATTTAAATTTACACTAAAGGAATTGCATTTTACATAAGAGGTAAAAAAAAAGGCATTTCTTAAAAAATGTAATGGAAATAATAAATCACAAAAAATATATTTAGAGCATGTGCAGCACTCTTTCCTCTATTGTTAACAATGTAAATATGTATAAAAAAGCCTTCAGATTAATTCATTTTATGCCGTTTGTGTTTTTAAAACATAATCAGCAGCTCTAGTATTATCATGCCTGCTGTTAGTACTTTGTACATCACACCTCAGCCAAGTGGACAGCAGTTTGTCTTCTGTAACATTTCAGAGGTTGGTAGTTATAGAGAAAATGATCTCTATCCATTCCTCTTGGATGAATCTTTTTACCATCCAGAGTCCTGGGTCCCTTCATAGGCCACTCCCACACAGCTCTTAGGACTTATGGGAGTAATTTGTGTTTTAAGAACTATATTGTTAATTACGCCAAAACTTTCAAGATCAATAAGCTATTAAAATACTTGAATATGATCCATGTTTAGTCTACAAGCAGAATTAACAAGGTTTTTAATAAAACTTCTAAGGATTTCAGAGTTTAACAAGGTTCACCAAGCATTTGTAAGATAATCCAGACCTTCCACTGCACTTACAGGTATAATTCAGGATTTTCACGAATTTTTGAAAAGACCCGCCCTCCCCACTTAAAAAAATAAATAAAAAATGCACATAGAAAACCCTGTACCTACTCCCTAGAGGAAATGCCTATTAAACACGTGCAAGTTTAAAAGTTGCTGTTTGCATTGCTCATACAAGTACGGAGGAGGATTAGAGCCACTGGAAAAAATAAAAAATTAACTGATTTTTAAATATCATTTCACTTTAATGTAGTAATGTAGTCAGAATTCTGACTTTAATCTCAGAATTCTAACTTTAATCTCAGAATTCTGACTGAATTCTGACAGCTAACAAATATGTTAGCATCAAGCCATAGCCATGTCTGTTTTAGAGACTAAACTAAGTCTCTTGTTTTAATCACCTTCTGCTCTTCCATTAATAGCATCACCAGGGACCCCTCGGGCACGTAAAAAGTTGCCTAATTCCATAATTTTCCACCAATGTGTTACTGGCCCTCTCAAACAACTCCCGTCTTTGTCAGTGAAGCCGAGTTCTCCCACATCTCTTCCTTCATGGTGCCCATCTACATTAAGATCCACAATTTTGAGATTAAAGTCAGAATTCTGACCTTTTTTCTTACGGTATATTATACTGAAATAAAATGTAAAAATCTGTTAACTTTTTCAATTTTTTCAGTGGCCCTAATCCTCCTCCGTATACAAGCTTACTTTCCGAAACAAGCTTTACAATTTTTCCACAATGTCAGACTCACCACCAGTAAGTGAAAATGGGGTCAAGCACATAGGATGGCCTTCCCTAAGCATATTACCAGAATGAGGAGGACCACTTATTTTGATAATCCACCTTTAATATTGAGTATGAAGTGTTTCTCTTCAGGTTCTTTCTTTAGTTTAGATCAAACCCACTTGGGAAGTTCACTGCTCAAAACTAAATCTTAGTGTCATTTGACCAAGGTATGCAGTTCAAAATAAAATCCCAACACATTTTAGCAAACTCTGGTGTTTACAGTTTAAACCATACGCTAGCACACACCATCTAATAAACACATCGCTGTACATGTATAACAAAATATAACAAAACATTTTTTCCTAGTGTGCCTCTTAAACAACCATTTGAGAGGCAATGGTTGTTTGAGTCATATCATAGTTAAATGGTTCCTATACATTTATAGATCTTTTCTATACCTTAATAGGAATCACTGCTGTAGAAAAAGATTCATTTATGTAGGCGCTTTACACTTCTTCACCAGTAAAGCAAATAAATATGCAGAATGCTTGATGCATAGAAACAACAAACTCACCTGGGCTGGCAGCAGCTTGATCTGTTTTCTTTTCTAAGGAGGATTAAAACACAGAAATCAATATGTGATAATAAAATTGATGGAGATTGGCTAATTATAAACCATAGAGGTCAGGAACAAAAAGGTCTGCATGACACAACGATTTTGATGGCCTATTTCAAATCGTCTGCCTAGGATCAAGGGTCAGGGCGGCAGTAAAACAATGACGTTGTGTCGTGTGAAAAGTGAAAGGTTCACTGAAGATAAGACGCGGCTGTTTTATGTATTAATAGCAGAGCTGAGGGTGCAGGTACCACTGCTTCTTCTTTTACACTATGAACCCAGTAACCTCCTGTTATTAGAGCAATGCATATTTGCAAGTTCAAATATCAAAGATGCTGCTAACTTATCATGTCCATAAATACCCACAGCTGGACCACATGCAAGGTCTAATAAAAGCTCTTAAAATAACATTTTTTTTAAATAAATACATAATTGAATAAATATACAGTCTCTAATTTTTATTTGTATCTTGCATTTTGTGGAAGAAGTTATTTTCTTCTGCAGATGAGAAAGTTTTGATATTAAAGATCCAGAAGGGGGGTTTTCATTTCACATGACAATAAAAGTTAACTGGCCATAAATTAAATGTTTTAATATTCTATCTAAACAAAAATTAAGCTTGTTTAGTGCCACATGTCAACATTAAAAGAGGAGAATTTAGAGTTCTAGTGTTTTAACTAGAGATGCAACAATCAAATGACTGAATCTGGCTTATCTATCTGTCTAATCAGTAACCAGGAGATTAAATCCTTACAAATTTATTAATTTGTTAAATGTATTAAAACTAAGGGTTCCCATATTATTCTTTTCATAAATGGATCAACAAACAAAATGCACTTTGATATAACTTTTTCATTCAGTAGAATGAAACAGATACAGGATATGGGCCGACCCTTTGATGTATGTAAAAAGATGTTTTTAATTATCTTGTTTGATTTGAAACAGCTACATTTATTAAAAAACCTGGAATGCACCGTTTTCTCTGAATCAGCAGGTCAGACTTTAAAACAGCTGCAAGAAACAAGATTTGGGTCAGAAACTGATTAGCTGTTTGAAGCAAAGACGATGTGTAAAGTTTGCTACGGTAACGTGAAATATTAAGCGATCTGCAAGCATAAAAACACCCTGTCTATTTCAGATGATTGAAGCATCACTTTTAATCAAAACTACTTTTAAGGTATAATTTTATACTGGGGTTTATTTCTAAGGTTATACTGGGGGAAATATATGAAAGAAAGAAATCAAGCTTTTAGTTTGGGCTTTTCTAACCCCGGCAATGTCCATCGTGAGCCACTTGGATCTTCAGGCCACTCAGACAAGCATCTCTGTGCAGCTCGCAGTGGTTCCTGTAGGTTTTCCCATTGCTGCCACACACTGACCTCTTGTGGGGTTTGCAACTCTACAAAGTGAAGAACACAGAAAAAAAAAAAGGATAAATCCAAACATGATTGAGTTTGTTTCTGCTGTGAAATAGTGCTATCACTTGGTCTATGAACTCTAGAAGCATTTACCTCAATGCAGAGGCAGCTGGGCTCCCCTTTCTCGTTGACGGCACACTCCCTGCCGGCCCCGCAAAACACATTGGCGCAGACTTTGCTCTTGCTCTTCGGCTCCTGGAGGAGACAAAAAGCTTAAGACCTTAGAAAGACTTTCACTTTAATGCACTGGGGGGTGCTGTTGCGTTTGTAGGACGATAAACAAAACACTTTGCATGAAGGCTGTAAAATATTACTCTCATTTTATTAACTGCATGTTAATAAACGTGATCTGCTTGGACATAGATACAGTTAGAGTTCTAACACTGATTTAAAGATTTCCGGAGGTTTAAATGCCTTTTTAAAATCAGTAATTGGGTTATTTCAGTGAGATGTTTTAAGAAAGTAATCAAAATTTCAGTATATAACTATTCTACTATTCTACTATTCAACTATTCTACTTTGTGTAGGTCTGCTATATAGAAATTTGAATAAAATACAATGAAATTTGTTATTAACATAATGTGAAAAAGTTTAACAAGAAGGGTTTTGAAAACTTTGATAACCTTTATTTTAAAAAAAATGAAACAAAAAGGATCAGAATGATACAGCTTAGTTGGATTGATGACACCCGTTCACTCAAAAAAAAGATTCCTTTCCCCGGGTTTATTCCTCTGATTCATTGTTTAAAGTCTTTGTTTTAGAACATGGCCAGCAGGCTGAAGAAATGAGGTCACTCTACTGCAGACCAACCAATCCCAAGGCGCCAAGCAGAGCCTCCAGAGCTGTTTGTTGACCCCTTCCCTCCTTCTCAGTGCTTCTTTGTATACTGGTGGGTGTATTTAAGTTTGCTTGTCAGTGTGTGTTTATGTTGGGTGTTTCCACATCTGGAGTCTGGACTGCGTTTTTCCTTTTCTCATACCATACGAAATCTTTTCTGCCCCGTTTCTCCCCCTCCCCTAAGTGGCTGTTTCCTGAACCAGCGAAGCATAAAACCTGATCGTCTGACTATGACGACACGTGAGCCGGATCCCAAGTTTCCATGAGTGAGAGTTTTCAACAGCACAGTTCGCTGTGCAGGTTTAAAAGAAGATTTTTGTTTCAGAACTGTGAGAAGGTCTACTGATGAATGTCAAAGGGTGCTTTCAGGGGCATCAAACTTTGACCTAAAAGTGGTGACAGCATTTGCTCATTTCCAATTTCACACAAACACTACCTGCACTCATAAGTTGAGGTCATGGGAAATCTTCAAAGTGATCCGTGTTGCCCTGAGCATATTGGTCTATTGAGTTATTTTGATACAGATGGGCTGAAGGCCTGTGGAAACCTGTGGAAACACTCGTAGGTTCATGAATAACGGATGAGCTCCTTGGATGAAGCTGCAACAAACGTAGGAATCCGTCTGTCGGCCCGTTCCACTCCGAGCAGAAGATCCCTGACATTTAGCTCATGGATAGGAAGCTGTTGATTATTCAAGTGGCTTGTTGCCATAGTGAGCTCATGTATAGGCTCTTGATGTGCAAATTTTACACAACTGACTATCAGGAGACCTCCTGTTATGAGAGGAAGGTATGATTATTGCAAAATGTCAGATGTAATGACTGACACAAGTCCCACTATAATGACTATAATGTCACCTTCACTAAATAAGGAAAGGAGGTTATAAAACATGGCTGGCTGTGCACGGTCCCACTGAGTGCAGAACTAGAACATGTGGTTTTTGCTTCACATCCACTATGAGATTCATGAAAGTTTTAGTTTCGGGTGTGCATCCGAGTGGTGACTTTAGATCTGTTTGAACATAGATAGTCTTATTATATATACATCTGTAGCAGGATCCATGTTTCAGGATCATTTTGGATCTTTGATATTCCTTCCACAAATTAAAAGACTTGGATCAGTTTAAATATAAAGAAGTAAAGATATTAAAGATGAACTCAGGTGAATCTGAAACACAATATGAAAATTATTTCTCTTCATTTTCAGACCAGGTTACAGGTGTGCTGTCCACTCTTTACACCATGATGGTCCTGGATTTAAATCCTGACCCGCCGTTCTGCATTCAGTACATGTTCTCTATGCATATAGATAGGTTCTCTCCTGATCCTCGCCGAATCATAAATCATGTTAGATTAACTGTGATTGGTTGTTTCTTGCCATATGTTTGTCACCCATGTCAGATTGAAGAAGGAAACCAGCCCCTCACCCCAGACCAAGTAAAAATAAAAACCTGGAGGCACAAATAAATACATTTTTTGAGTTATCTGTATGTCCTATGCACAACAAAAGGCTCCAACAATCCTGAAAGACAAGGGGTGGCTATTTGTTTTGCATTTGACTTAGAACGCACTTAGGAGGAGGGATCTCCATGCTCCTGAAACACATCAGCGCTCCGACTACAGATTGCTCTGGTGCGAGCCTAAAGCATTGACTCCTGGATAGCTGTCGAAAACGTCTTAAAAAAACTGAGTGAAAGTCTGATTGGCTTCAAATTGAAGCCTCTTTGTGGTTTCCACGGCCCCAATAACTATTTATTTCTTTTTCATAAGATAACAATACTTATCTCTTTACTTCCATAAACCTAATCTATGGAATTATTTTAAGACAACAAGATCTAATGTTTTTTTGTTTTTTTTTTTGTAGTGATAAAAGTGGGATTAGGTGATTATCTCAAATAAGAGAATTTTGAAGACTACTGATTTTATTAACAATTTCATTATAGGTTCATTTTACAATAAACTATTTTCAGATTTCTATTAGATTAATTTTCTAATTGTTCAGATAAAATGGTACATAATTTTAGGCGGTTTATCCTAATCTTTCAAAATATTATACAGAATTGTTTCATTAGCTTAAGGCATTGGTTTACCTTCAACAGTTTTAGTCTAGTGTTCTAATTGTAGAGATAAAAATAACTTGTTAGCTTTGTAGAAATATCTTGATTAGATGATTGACTTAATCTGGAATTACATAAGATTTCAAGCTCATTATCTCACCTATATAAGCCTTTAAGCCAAATTATATTATTTTGTCATCAGATTATATTATAATGAGACCTCAAGCTTGACTTGATGTAGTAGCTGTTTAATAATCTCAAGATATAAGAGGTACAATTCTTTAGATATTGGGCTCATATTATATTATCCAAAAAAATAAAAACATTCTGACAGCAATGCTGAGAGATGATTCAAGGCAAAAACATTCATCATAAACAAATCTCATACTTCCACAGGTGGGAAGCTCATTTTCTAGCAATAACATTTTGTTGATGATCTCATTATACTCTTATCTCAAACCCACTTATTAAAATTGCTTTGTTTCGTAACAATTTCATTATCTTAAGCTGTTAAAGCTCCAATATAACAAGTTTACATGTATTTCCACTCTAAAATCATAGCCATAGTTAACTTTTGCACCTAAATAAATTCTGGGCTCTTATAAAGAAAAAAAACAGTCAGAGCCTGGTGTGGAGAAACATCACAACCAAATAAATCACAAGAGGTACAATTGTTTGTGATTTTCATGACTCATATTAAATTAGTTTACATCTTCATATGGGTTCTTTCCAGAAATGTGCGTTCATAAAGACGTATTCCTAATCTTGAGAACACTTTGACCACCTGGTAAAGATCAGATTATTTATATATTAAAACCTTAAAGTAAGCTGGGAGTTAACTTTTCATTTCCCCTCTAGCTGTATATAAAACTAAGATTAAAGCTTTTGACTGAAGTTTGATTTTAACAAACTGAAAAAAAAAGAACTGATGTCACTAAATAAATGTTTATCATTGCTGTCAGTGTTTGTGTTTTGTTTGCTTTTATGCTTTCAGAATTCCCGTTGTGTATTTATGTTCCAGCATGCCTCGCTATGGTTTTCTGTTATGTTCTTTGTACCTCGTCATTTCATGTCCCTTAAATCTCTGCTTATCTTTTCCCCTTTTGTTGATAGTTTCTTTCTGTTCCAGCTCAGCTCAATCTATTTTAATTAGTCTTCTGCAACAGCTGCTCCATATTACCTCTGATTGCTCTTTTGGTTTGTTTGCTATTCTCCACCACTGTCTCTGTATTTATACTCATTGGTTTTTCTGAATCGACTGTGAAACTGACATTTTAAATGGCCTGTTTGCATGTACCCAGTACCTGACCTGCTTTTCTTTAATGAACCCCTGCTATCATTCACTGATCTGATGTCAGCCCTGTGCAGGTTTTTGTTCTTAAAGCTTTTTTACTTTTTTTATTTTCATATGAGCCTAATTCTTAAATTTAGTTGGATTTTCAAAGCTGCAAAAGACATTTAGAACATAATATAAACATGGAATATGTGCAACTGAACTTTCACGATTGTTGCAGCTACAACATTGTTCTGTCATGCTGAGATCTATGGTTTTATATGAAGCATTAATTCAGATGTAAAACAAACGGATTGATATTAAAGACACTAATACAGCTTATACAAATATAATAAACTATCTAAGACTCATGCTAGTAGAAAAAGTGGTAAAAATGTCTTTGTTTAGTCAGGAAATCCATGTCTCAGTCATTCTGTAGCACTCAGATCAACCTGCAGGGCGGGCAAATTTAAAAACCAACAATGATATGTCTTAATCTGTTTGTTTAATATTATTCTTTGACCAACCCTTTTCTCCAAATTTATAGAGTATTTTTATTTACCACATTTAATACATTGAGTCTACTATAAAGCTATAAAGGCCACCTTTAACTGAAATTCACAGGATGTCTGTGGTCCTATTTTATGATTAAATTAAAACGAAAGCAATGGCCATAACAGATAAGCACTTTGTACCAAATTATTTCCATTTGCAAATAGTTTTATTTGGGAGATGCTGTGTCAATAAAACATTTTGCCATTAAAATAAATAAACAAATACATAAAAGTGTCTGCATCTAACCGCTGTGCTGGAAGGCAAAATTACAACACTGGTTGAGGGAAGAGGGAAGCTGCGAAACAATATATCCAAGAGCCTCAAGGTGTCAATGGTATTTTAATGGCAGGAAATTGTTATCGTTCTAATCGAATGCAAAATTATGCAGCTAATACCGACTTGTTATGCTTGATGAGGAGCAGAGCTGCAAAACTACTAATCTTAATCCCTTCATTGGATCTATCTCTTTGCTTA